AGAAATCTTTAATAAATTAAAAAAAAAAGGAAAAAAAGGAAAAAAAAACCCCTCAAGCTAAACAACTGCAGCATATGTCTAAGGCAGACCCACGCAGGCTCTGTGGTTGCTGCTTCAGTCTCTGTGAGCTCTCATGATCCCTGCTTAGTTGCCTCCTTGGGCCCTGTTATCCTGTTGTCCTGAAGCTCTGGCTCCTCCCTCTCTTCTGGGTTTACTTGTGCTCTTGTGGATGATGGTTCTTGAGATCCAGAGTTAACACAAGGCTCCATGAAGATTCATCTGTCCTGGATCTCCTGGGCTTTGCTGTCACTGTCTGCCTTGGCTTCTGTATTTGTGACCACTGTCGTCCATGCTCTGTGTTAATGGACTCAGGAGCCCTGGCTGCTCACACACACCACGCACCAAGGCCTCTCTGAGACCTATATCATTTCAGCATCATTCCAGGGAAAAGCTAGGGTTCCTCACCTGAGACCAGGAGCTCCAGGGGGTCACTAGGTTCTGACCACACCAGTGGGCTGTTCTTGTTATAGCTGTAGCATCTGAATGTCCATCTTTGACTGGAGGTCACAGGGCCCACAGAGAACTGGGCCTGGTACTGCCAAGTATAGGAGTTACACCGTGAGTCCAGTGTCTGGGACAGCTGCTGTGGTCCTTCCTTAGTCAGAATGAAGCAGTCATATGCCTGCCATGAATCACACTGGAGGGTGACATTCCCTCCTTCAGTCACCTCAGGCCTCGACTGGGCTGACAGGCTGGGTTTGCTGTAGAATCCTAGGAGAGAAGGAAGAATCAGTTAAATGTCCTCAATAGTCTCATTATGTTCCATGATTATAAAAGGTGGACATACTTACTGAACAGACTGTCCTCTCACCTGTCACCACCAGCTCCAGGGAGTCACTATACTCTGACCATCCATTAAGGGTCCGATATTGACAGTGATATTGCCCTGCATGGTGATAGCCTAATTTGGAGATTGATAATTCATTCTTGTTCTTAGGGTTCTGTGAAATCTCTCTCTGCCATTGATTTTGGTATAGTTCTTTATAAAATCTATACTCTTTGGCTCCTGTGGCTCCCTCACACAAGAAGGTCACCTTATTCTGCTTGGAGACCACAGAGTGTGGCTGTGCTCTGAGGACAGGCTTAGGAAGGGTCTCTGCAAGAAAAGAGCAGCTAGGACTCAGTACAGGCATCCTAAGATTGCAACCCCATTCCCAACTCCTCATCACCCCCAGCGCACGTGCGTTGTTTCCATCTTCACTGCCCAGGCAGGGCTCCTGGGGATGATGAGAATTGCAGGTCAGGACATCTGCAGACACTCACTCACCTGTCAGCACTGGGGTCCCGAGGTCCAGAGTCAGTCCTGGAAGAGAGTTCCCTGTGAGAGGTTTGTCCCTGAAGCTTGAGCAAGTCCTCCCCATTCAGTCCCCTGAGACCCAGGGCTTTCCTGATGGGCCAGTGCTGAGTGTTGGGGCAGCATCATTTCTAGACAATGGTATCCCCTCCCCATCTCCACATCTCACCCAGACAGAGCAGGGCTGTGAAGGTGAAGGTCATGGTATCTCCTCCTGTAGGCTACAACTGTGCTCCTGGTGAGAATGCCAGAGACTGCCTGGAGGAACATGAGATTTACGTTATGACCCCTGGAGGCAGGAACTCCCCATGACAGGGTTGTAATGGAGCAGCCCCACAAGAAGGGGAACTGCCCTCCTCAGGCACCAGACTCTGACTTCCCCAATACTGTGGCTAGGTCAGGCAGTAGATTCTTCAGGCAACATTTGATGGATGACATTTCCATAACCCCATTCGTGTCTGTCTCATCTGTCCTCATATTTTTCAGGACCAGATTTCTTACCATGTAGCAGACATGTATGAATATTATACCTAAAAAATACAAATTTAAATATGTGTTTATTTTATTTCTTTTCACATGTTTTATGTGAAATACTTTTCATATTCAAAATGTTTGAAGGTTTCTCAGAAGGGTCTCACTGTGTACATCTGTCTGGAATAAAATTTATAATCCTCTTCCTCATAGTTTACAGTTATGGGTTCCAAATGTGGACTGCTGTCTCTGGCTCTCTGCTATGTTTGGATATGTGTACTTTCCATTCCAACTTTAAATTACACTTATTTATTTATTTATACTTAAGTCTTTAAATTGCATGTGTGTGATAATAATATATTACACTTATTTTTTCTTTATGTGTGTACACTCACATGTGTCACATGGAGGTCAGAGGACAACTACAGAAGGCAGTTTTCTCATTGAGCAATGTGGATCAGAGTCAGGGCTGAAGGTGATGGCAGGCTCTTATACACTGATCCATGTCTCTAGCTCAATCTATTATCATCACTTTCCTTAGTCCTTCTGCTTCAGGTAAGAAAAAAATAATCCTCATTGTTTTGGGGGATCTTGGACCAAATAAGTTCCCAGCATTGTTTGACTTTCTTGGGATGAGGTTGTTGGTGTGGCTACCCTTCTTGAGGCAGTCAACTGCACAGGGCTGCAGGTGTGGGCAGTACTTGTGGGCAGCAGTGCATGGCTTTGTCACTGCTGTGCTTGTGAATAAACTGGCAAAGGGATGGATCTTTGATACCACTACACTGCTGTAGGAAATCATACAGCCAGTAGCCTTTGAGTTAACCGTCCACTGGGGCATGGCCTCTTATACTATTTATGCCAATGTAAAGCATGCATCTGGAGGTTTGGCTCTGGAGGGGTTCCCAGAAGTCCACGTGCCGGGATGACCCTAGCTAGGACCCTGGGCAGTCGAGGAGAGGGTGCCTGAACTGGCCTTGTCCCGTTGTAAGACTGATGACTATCTTGAATATCACCATAGAACCTTCGTCTGGTGACAGATGGAGACAGACAGAGACCCATATCGAAGCACTGGACTGAGCTCCCAAGGTACAGTTGAAGAGCAGAAGGAGGGAGAATATGAGCAAGGAAGTCAGAACCACAAGGAGTTCACCCACTGAGACAGTGTGCCTGAGCTAATGGGAGCTCACCAACTCCAGCTGGACTGGGAATGAAGGAGCATAGGATCAAATTGGTCCCTCTGAATGTGGCTGACAGTTGGGGCAGACTGAGGGGCCAATGACAATGGCACTGGGCTTTGTCTTTACTTCATGTACTGGCTTTTTGGAATCCTATTGCTCTTTGGATGCAGGAATCCTTGCCCTCTCTTAGGACTGGAGTGGGTGGGAGAGAGGGTGTTTGCGGGGAGCAGGAGGGAAGTGGGAGGAGTGGAGGAAGTGGAATTTTGATTGGTACTATTTTTTAATTAATTTATTTATTTATAAAAGATTTATGTCTCTTCCCCACCACCGACTCCCAAATGCCCCCCTCCCCCAGTCAACCCCCCTCTCTCATCAGCCTGAAGAGCAGACTGGGTTCCTTGCCCTGTGGGAAGTCCAAGGACCTCCCACCTCCTTCCAGGTCTAGTAGGTGAACATCCAAACAGCCTAGGCTCCCACAAAGCCAGTATGTGCAGTAGGATCAAAATCCAGTGCCATTGATCTTGACTTCTCAGCAGTCCTCTTTGTCTGCTATGTTCAGCGAGTCCTGTTTTATCCCAGGCGTTTTTCAGACCCAGGCCAGTTGTCCTTGGTGAGTTCCCGAAAGAACATCCCCATTTTGTCAGTGTGTGGGTGCACCCCACGCAGTCTTGAGTTACTTCCCTGTGCTCTCGCTCCTTCTGTTCCTGATTTGGACCTTGGGGTCATACTCCGGTGCTCCAATGTGGAAATCTGTCTCTGTCTCCTTTCATCACCTGATGAAGGTTAATATCCAGGAGGATGACTATATGTTTGTCTTTGGGTTCTCCTTCTTATTTAGCTTCTCTAGGATCACGAATTATATGCTCAATGTCCTTTCTTATGGCTAGACACCAAATATGAGTGAGTACATCCCATGTCCCTCTTTTTGGGTCTGGCTTACCTCACTCAGGATAGTGTTGTCTATTTCCAAATATTTGCATGTGAATTTCAAGAAGTCATTGCTTTTTACTGCTGAGTAGTACTTTAATATGTATATATTCCATACTTTCTTCATCCATTTTTCCACTGAAGGGCATCTAGGTTGTTTCCAGGTTCTGGCTATTATAAACAATGCTGCTATGAACATAGTTGAGCATATACTTTTGTTGTATGATAGGGCCTCTCTTGGGTATATTCCCAAGAGTGGTATTGCTGGGTCCAGGGGTAGGTTGATCCCGAATTTCCTGAGAAACCGCCACACTGATTTGCAAAGTGGTTGCACAAGTTTGCATTCCCACCAGCAATGGATGAGTGTACCCCTTTCTCAGCAATTTCTCCAGCAAAGGCAATCATTGGTGTTTTTTTATTTTAGCCATTCTGACAGGTGTAAGATGGTATCTTAAAGTTGTTTTGATTTGCATTTCCATGATTGCTAAGGAAGTTGAGCATGCCCTTAAGTGTCTTTTGGCCATTTGAACTTCTGTTGAGAATTCTCTGTTCAACTCAGTGCCCCATTTTATAATTGGGTTGATTAGACTTTTACGGTCTAGTTTCTTGAGTTCTTTATATATTTTGGAGA